CATACTTTTCTTAGGATGGGTGTTTCCAACTTGTTTGCTGGCTTGACAAGAGCTACAAAGATTATCCTTTTCAAACACAACATCTTTCAAGCCTCTAACCAAGTCATACTTAACCAATCTATTCAATTGTTTCATTCCAACATGACCAAGCCTTCTATGCCATAACCAACCCATGCTAGACTTAGTGAACAAACATGTAGATAGTTGAGCTTCATTAGCATTGAAATCAACCAAGTATAGATTCTCATATCTAAAGCCTTTGAAGATCAAGTTAGAGCCATCTACACTTATGATATCTACATCATCTACCCCAAATATGCATTTGAATCCAAGATCACACAATTGAGCCACAGATAGCAAATTAAAGTTCAAGATCTCTACTAGCAACACATTGGATATGCTCATGTCATTGGATATTGTAATATTACCATGCCCTTTGACCTTACCTTTGCCATTGTCACCAAATGTGATACTATCATAACCATCATTGCCATTGGTATTGATTGATTTGAACATTCTTGCATCACCGGTCATGTGTTGAATGCACCCACTATCAAGAACCCAATGCCTTCCTCTGGTTTTGTAATTGACCTACAAAAGAAGATCAATTATTTTTAGGTACCCAAACTTACTTGGGTCCTTGAAGGTTAGTCACTAAGCTCTTTGGTACCCAAATGGCTTTCTTCTTTGAGCCCATCCATGGTGCACCAATGAACTTAGCCTTCACACCATTTGTACCCTTAGTAAGCACATAGAAAGAATTAATCTTAATTGAGGATAAATTAGCATTTTTGCTTTTGTTCTTGCAATCATGCTCTTTGTGACCAACTTGCTTGCAACTAGTGCAAAACCGACCATTGTTCTTCACAAAACTAGTCTTGTGAGGTGCAAAGGCCACCTTGCCTTTCTTAGGGATATAGCCCAATCCCTCTTTGTAGAGAGAAGCTCTTTGGCTACCCAAGCACATAAGCAAGCGGTCCTCACCACCATAGGCCTTAGTCAAGGTGTGAGTGAGCTCATTTACCTCCTTCTTGAGGGTCTCATTCTCAACCATTAGTGAGGCATCACAAGTGAAACCATCACTACTAGATGAGGTGAAAGAAAAAATGCTACAAAAAGGGTTAGTGGGAGCAACAATGATAGGCATAGATAATGATTCATCAATTAGGTCACAAGTTAAGCCTACATTACAAGTCTTAACATGCTTCTTCTTATTTTGTTCATTAAGCAAAGAAGAATGAGCTTTTTCAAGCTTCTTGTGAGCCTTGCCAAGCTTCTCATAGGCTTCCTCTAGCCTCTCATGAGTTGTTTTGAGCTCAACAAGGGATTTTACTTTCTTATTCAAGCTCTTGCATTTTCTGCTCTTAATGTCAAAGTGTTCTTTAGCATCTTCTAGCATGCCAAATAATTCATCTTTAGTGGGTTCATCATCATCACTATCACTATCATTTTTATTATCATGTTCCTCATCACTTCCATCATCACAAGTTTGTACCTTAGTGGCCTTAGCCATGAAGCATGATGGAGTGTCGAAGAGAGAAGGCTTCTCATTGATAGCAATGCTTGCAAGTGCCTTGTTCTTGGTGGTCTTGTCATCATCACTATCATCATCATCACTCGAGGAAGCATCACTATCCCAAGTGACCACATATGAATCACCCTTCTTCTTCTTCTTGAAGGTCATCTTTTCCTTCTTCTCTTTCTTTTCCTTCTTGTCCTTCTTGTTCTTCTTGTCATCATCTTTGTCACTATTGTATGGGCATTGAGCAACAAGATGATCCTTGCTTCCACAATTGAAGCACCTTCTTGACTCTTCCTTGTTCTTGGATGAAGATTTCTTTATTCTAGCACGGTATCTTTTCTTCACCATGAACTTGCCAAATCTCTTGACAAAGAGAGCCATCTTCTCATCATCATCATCCCATAAACTATCATCTTCACTTGATGTGTCTTGCTTTGCCTTGCCCTTGGATGATGTGGCCTTGAATGCCACACTCTTCTTCTTGTCATCCTTCTTCTCAATTTTCTTCTCCTTCTTTTCTTCCTTCTCATTATCATCTCTATATGTAACATTGGTCATTATATCTCCTAATACTTGGTTTGGTGTCATGGTCTCCAAATCACTCCTTACTAGAATAGTGACCAATGTGCCAAATCTTGAAGGTAAGCATCTCAAGAACTTGTGGGAGAAGTCCTTGTCCTTCACCTCTTCTCCAAGTGCTTTGAGATCATTGACAAGCACTTGAAGCCTATGAAACATTTCCAGCACACTCTCATCCTCCTTCATCTTGAAGCCTGCAAACTTCTCCTTAAGAATGTATGCCTTTGCACCCTTCATGGCTTGAGTGCCCTCAAATGATTCCTCCAACTTCTTCCATGCCTCATGAGCTCTCTCAATGTTCTTGATTTGCTCAAATGTTCTCTCATCCAAAGCATCATGGATGACACTAAGAGTATTGTCATTATTTTAGAGAAGCATTTTTTCGGTGGCAGTGGGAGCCTCTTCATCATCAATCTCAATCTTGGCCTCCGCCATCTTCCAAACCCTCCTATTGATTGACTTGATATAAGTTGTCATTTTAGTCTTCCAATAGGGATAGTTTGAGCCATCAAATTGGGGTGGCTTCTTGGTGTTGTTGATTTAAGCCATTTTTACACCGAAGGTTGTTAAGCCTCAAATCACGGTGACCTCAGCTCTGATACCACTTGAAAGGTCCTAATGGCTAGAGGGGTGGTGAATAGCCTATTAAAAATTTCTACAACAACACTTAACAAACCGGTTAGACAAATATGAGGCGAAGCGAGAGTTGCGCTAGCCTACTAAAAATGCAAGCCACCTACCACAATTCTAGTTTCTATAGTCTATATCCACACAATAGCTATGTCACTACACTAAGTTAGTGTGCTCTTAAAAGCTAACTAAAGAGCCACACTAACCAAACTAACAAGCTCTCATGACTAGCTACACTAAAAAGCTTGACAACTAGTTTGTGGTAATGTAAAGAGAGAGAGCAAGATAATTATACCATCGAGTCGAGGAATGAACCAATCAATCACAAGAATGAATACCAATCACCTCGGAATCAAATGATGAACACAATGATTTTTTACCGAGGTTCACTTGCTTGCCAGCAAGCTACTCCTCGTTGTGGCGATTCACTCACTTGGAGGTTCACGCACTAATTGGCATCACACACCAAACCCTCAATAGGGTGCCACACAACCAACACAAGATGAGGATCACACAAGTCATGATCACTTTACTAGAGTACCTTTTGGCTCTCCACCGAGGAAAGGTCAAGAACCCCTCACAATCACCACGATCGGAGCCGGAGACAATCACCAACCTCCGCTCAACGATCCTCGCTGCTCCAAGCCATCTAGGTGGCGGCAACCACCAAGAGTAACAAGCGTATCCCGTAGCAAGACACAAACATCAAGTGCCTCTAGATGCAAACTGAGCAATGCACTTGGATTCTCTCCTAATCTCACAAAGATGATGAATCAATGATGAAAATGAGTGGGAGGGCTTTGGCTAAGCTCACAAGGTAGCTATATCAATGCAAATGGCTAAGAGAGTGAGCTAGAGCTGGCCAAATGGTATTTATAGACACCCCCAAACAATAGAGCCGTTGGCTCAATTATTGGGCTGACTGCGGGATGACCAGACACGTCCGGTCGGTGACCGGACGTGTTCGGTCGCCTACGTTCGGTCGCTCCTTGACCGCCACGTGTCCCATTCAAATGAAGTAGTCGTTGCTACCATGAGTACCACACTCAACTACGACCAGATGCGTCCGGTGTGGACGACCGGACGCAGGACAGGCAGCGTCCGGTCGAGTCTAGAGAGCCCCCCGAGCCGCTTTGAGCTGACCGGACGCGTCTAGTCACACCGGACTAGACGTAGGAGACTTAGCATCCAATCAAGTCTAGAGAGCTCCCAGAGCCAGTCTGGGCCGACCGAACGAGTCCGGTCACACCGGACCGGACGCTCCTAGAGTCCGATCAATTATAGCGCTGAAATCCGAGAGTTGCCGGTTCACACCGGAGGCGTTCGGTCGCTTCTCTGCAAACTTGAACTAAGCTAACTCACATTGATTAGATGCTAAATAGTAACTCCTCAGCGTCCGGTCGCTCCACTGAGCCAGAGTCCGGTCGTTGATACCGGATGCATCCGGTCAGCAAACTGGACTTGTCCGGTCACTCTATGACCAGCGCGACTAACTCCTTTTCAACTCTATCTTCTTCACCCTTGCTCAAATGTGCTAGCCACCAAGTGTATCACCTTGTGCACATGTGTTAGCATATTTTCACAGTCATTTTCAAGGGTGTTAGCACTCCACTAGATCCTAAATGCATATGCAATGAGTTAGAGCATCTAGTGGCACTTTGATAACCGCATTTCGATATGAGTTTCACTTCTCTTAATAGTACGGCCATCGAACCTAAATGTGATCACACTCATTAAGTGTCTTGATCACCAAAATAAAATGGCTCCTACTACTTATACCTTTGCCTTGAGCCTTTTGTTTTTCTCTTTCTTCTTTTCAAGTCCAAGCACTTGATCATCACCATGACATCACCATCATCATGTCATGATCTTCATTTGCTTCACCACTTGAAATGTGCTACCTATCTCAAGATCACTTTGATAAACTAGGTTAGCACTTATGGTTTCATCAATTCACCAAAACCAAACTAGAGCTTTCAGTAGGTCGACCTCGTCTTCTAGGACAGCTCCCATGACGCCAGGGTGAGCGGCGCGAGAGGAACGGTCGACGTGCGGTCAGATGTCGATGGAGTGGGGCGCGTCACTATCACTGACCTCCTAACGCGGCGTGCGCGGTGTGCATAGTGCTGCTTCATCCACCATTGGGTCTATGGCTGGCAACTTGGTAGAAGAGGGTGAGCCGAGGCACATGGGCTCAAAGTCAAACGTAGCCTCCACACGTTCGTCGACACGTGTCCGTGGCATGGCGCAAAACCCACTCCCTACAGCGCTATAGGGCATGGCGCTGCACGGCGAAATGATCGGGCAGCAGAAGTCGCCCACTACGACAGCCTGCCTCGCTTCCCGAGCCCAAAAAAGTGGGCCCGGACCTGTGACCTAGGCGAGGCTTGTCTGGCCCGGCGATGCGAGTCTTTCGTGGCCGCGCGCCCGTGCCACCGCTGTCGCCGAACCTAGGATGGAAACCACTGTAGTTGCTGTCGCTGCTATCCTCGTCATTGTTGTAGCCGTAATCTTCATCAGACGAGGGCGGAGGAGTGTGCCAATCCTGGAACTCCATGGTCCTCGGACGCACCAGGTAGCGCAAGGCCGATACTTCGTCGTGGATAATCTCATGCGTCCGGAGATATAGCGACGACCCCTTGTCATGCTCCTCCTCCTCCTCTAGCACCGCCATAATCTTCTCATCAGGAATGAGGTCAGGGTACGCGCACCACGCGGTGACGAAGAGTTCAGTCTCATTGTTCAAGTCATCAAGCGCCTCTAGATTGGTGATCTCCGCCTTGGCCCCTATGGAGATGAGAATAACCTGGATGACCTCCAACGACCGAGCATGCGAAGGGATGCCTTTCATGCCGACGAGGACACGGTATCTGAAGGCACCCACCGATCCCATGATCAGGCGGCTCCACCGCCACCAACGTAGGATGAATGGCGCCCTCGGTGGCGAAGGGGTGCTAAGAACAGCATCCAGGTCTAGCTGGTTGGTGAAACGAACGATGAAGTCATCTGGTCTTGTACGCCGCACCGAAATGTGGTCCTCATCGATGCTGAAGTGTTGCTGGAGATGCATACGGATCATGGCCGGGGATACGGGTGGCTTGGTGCCAACAACCATGACCAGTAGCGTAAGAGATAGAGCCTACTCTGTGGCTTACAAAGCTAGAGTGCACGGCACGATGACGAGCTCAAGAAGTGGCGTTCTGGTTCTAGTCCTAGGTGACGCCGGTGGCGCCTCTACCCACCTCAGCAGGGAGCGCGGGTATGCCCGGGGCCTATCGGGGCACAAAGAACTCCCTGTTGGAACCGGTGGTGACCATCGAGTTCTCGATCTTGGAGCTAGCTT